ATATTTTGAAGCAGTGCTTCCAGTACCCCTATTTAATAGTGACACGATGCTGCTGTAAAATAAATTATATTTTACAAGTTTGCAGTTTGAATTTATAATATTGTTTTTATATTTTTTATTATAATATTAAAAGAATCGATATAACAAGATAATGGTTGCATGCAAAACAAGCAATATAACTTGATCAGTGTAGTCAGTTCACTAATGAATCACTCTGTAGAGCTGGATCTATTAATGAATTCATCAAAAACGACTCTCAAACTCAAAATTAGTTTGAATTACTTTTGAATTGTGTTACTTTTGAATTTGATAGGGAACACTGCTTTATTAGTATTTTTGCTGTAAGCTATTTTGCATGACTAAGCTTTTGCATGCCGACTGGGCAAAATACACGTTTTAATGTTCTAAACTATAACAATTAAATACTGTAGAAACTGCTCCCTTACTTCTCTCTCTGTTCAGGTTTTGCTGGTACTCCAGGGTACCTGTCCCCAGAGGTCTTGAGGAAAGATCCTTATGGCAAACCTGTGGACATGTGGGCCTGCGGTAAGGGATGAATGAGTCACAAAAATATCAGCCTCGTAAGTGAGTCGGTGTGATGGATGTCACTGTTGAAGTAGATTAACCGATTATTAAATTATTGCAGTCTGAGTTTTTAAGCAGCATTGAATCGAATCAGCTAAATGGAGTGTGCCTGGTAAATTGTCTTTCTGTTTTTAGGCTTAACACTAGTTAGTCTAATGCAAGCAGTTGAACGAATGTTTCAATTAAGTAGGGTGACCATACGTGCCATTTTCCCAGGACGCGTCCTGGGAAAATGGCACGTATGGTCACCCTAAATTAAGCCTTGATGTAAAAATGATTGCACAATTATTCAAATTCACCATCAGGAAGTTCTTCCAACTTACAAAAAGATGACCAGATGGTAATACAATGGAACTTTGAGTTATACATTCTGAAAAGTACGGAATGATTACCATATTCATGCACCATAGTATTTAAAAGGCCACTCATCAAGGAATACCTTGTTATGGCACATGTCCAAAAAACGTAGTAGTACCAATGTACCATGTCCAAAAAAAAATGTACCAGTTCCAAAAAAAAAAAAAAAAAACCTATATGGTTTCACTATACAGTACTCTGTGCTTGAATATGATTGCTTAAATACAGACATCAGCCGAATTTAGGTCCAAGTTAGTTGATATTCAAGTATTTGTTTGTAGAATATTCCTCTTTCAGTGTGACCATAATAGAAGATATGTTTCATAGGTGTGATTCTCTACATTCTGCTGGTTGGATATCCACCATTTTGGGATGAAGACCAGCATCGCCTCTATCAGCAGATTAAGGCTGGTGCATATGACGTGAGTCTGAATTTCCAATGATTTACCTGCAAAATGTTCACAAAAAGAGAACACACTATAGAGCTACAAATGCAACATCTGATGATTTTGCTAATAACTCTGATGATAAATTGATGCCATCTTCAGTTTCTTGGCTTCTAAGGCTTACAAATTCATACAAAAATTATTAAATGATGGATTATTCTGTTATGTTTCATGTCTGTATGTAGTTTCCTTCTCCTGAGTGGGACACAGTGACCCCTGATGCTAAAGATCTGATTAATAAGATGTTGACTATCAATCCTTCTAAACGCATCACAGCTGCTGAAGCCCTCAAACACCCTTGGATCTGCGTATGTGTTTCAACACACAAACACACACTAAAATGCATGCTTCTTTATATACAACAAAATAATTTCTTAATCCTCTCTAATGGCTTGGAATCATTCTGGCTTTCTTTGTCTTTGTGTAGCAACGCTCCACTGTAGCCTCTATGATGCACAGACAGGAAACTGTGGAGTGCTTGAAGAAATTCAATGCCAGAAGGAAACTCAAGGTTAGTTTTGGTCTGACTTTACTCAGACAACTTCTACATGTGTTTTGACCAATCTTCAGCTTTCTTTACACGTCACAGAGTCTCACAAACTATGCATTTACCTCCTCACTGCAAGATCTAGATCCAGAAAGTTTCTTTTAAATGTACTGCTTTATATTATAGCATTACTACCTATACTAATTAATTATATTACATTTGTCAATTATTACAGAACGTAAGTTAGTTATTTTTGGATAATGATGTAGTTACAGGCTATCTACCAGCAGGGTAACCAGCCCAGCCTTGGCTCCCTGGGACAAAGTGACACTGTTATGGAAAAGTGAAAGTTTTCAATTGTATTCGCCAGAAAAGTAACACATTCTTTATTTTAAAAAAGTAACTGGTGGTATTATGTGTAAATTAGAAAAAAAAAAAAAAACTTTTCTTTATTCATTATTTCCAAAAGCTCCAAGAATTGATTATGTAATGCAATGATTATTTGCAATGCCCAAACAAACAAGATATTCTAGCAAATTAGACATCCTCCAAATACATCATAAAAATTAGGGTATACATTGCTCTTGCTGTTGCTTCTGTACTATTCTTTCTTTCATTTCTCTCTTGCCTGTTGTTTTATTCCTTTTCTTTCATTTTCAAAACTTTTTTTGCAACTAGGGTGCAATTTTGACCACTCTCCTGGTCACAAGAAACTTCTCAGGTATGTCTGGCTCTGCTGACCTGTATGTGTGAATGTGTGTGTGTGTGTGTGTGCCTATCCTACAGCTGTATTAAACTCTCTTCTTTTTATCTTCTTATATGTGAACTTGATTCATAATGCTATTTTTTCATAAACCTTGTAATTAGTTATTTTGCAGTTAATTTGGTGTTTATTTTTATTATTATATTTATTTTTTGACAAAGGCTGTTTTAAAGTAAGGTGGTAACACACGCCATTTCAGACATTTTATTTAACATTTATTTTCTGTTTATCATTGCTTTATCTCTTTTTTTGGGGGGGGGGGGGGGGGG